TTTTTTTTTTTTTTTTTTTTTTTATTTACCTTCAGCACATAGTGCAAGGCCTAGTGATTTAAACAGCTACCATCAGTTTTAACACCAAGACAGTTTTTAATGCCCTTCTGCAACAATAATTTAACTGACATTGATTGACTTTGTTGTTAATTGCTATTGTGCTTTTTAGCTTTGGGAATATGGGAACATTGGAAAGCTGGGATGGAAGGGACTTCAGTATGCCAACTAGTCTGGCCCCCTACTCTAGGCAGGAGTCCAAACCATCCAAGTCAAGCACCTTTCTAACCTGCTCTAAAAATCATCCAAGGATAGAGATTCCATAACCTCTCTGGGTAGCCTGTTCCAATGCTTAACCACCCTCATAGTGACAAAGTTCTTCTTAATCTCCAACCTAAATTTCCTCTGCTTCAGTTTGAGGCTATGTCTCCTGGTTCTGTCTGCTATAGCCACAGAGAATAATCTATTTTCATTCCCTTTGTAATTTCCCATCGGGTATTTTAAGACTCCTATCAAATTCCCCCCTCAGTTTTTTTTTCTCCATATATACTCTTCTCTACATAATTTTAGTTTTCAGTCTTCCTCATAAGGCTGAAAGCCTCAAAATATACCTGGCTAGTATGATTATTTCATAAATAAAATAAATGCATGTAGGTATTTAAATACACGTAAGTAGTATGTATGCTCCAGCTTTACAGAAAAAGTATCCAAATAAAAATAGAGGGTTTATTTCACATTCAGTGGGCCCAATTCTGCCCCCTAATCAAGGCCAGTAGCTCCTGTTAAAGTCAAAATGCTTAACTGAAGAAACAGTTATCTCCACTATTCAAGGAAGCATCCTGGAAGGAGAAAACTTTCTGAACCTGTTATCCTTTCCACGTGTCTCAATGCAGTAAGTACACAAGCCAAGTGAAATAAAAAAAGATTAATCTAGGCCTGATTCTGCATCACTACTGCCACTTTTCTCTATATTGGTTATGGCATGAGCAGAGCAGAACTTGCCTGACTCTGGCACAGCTCCCCACTAGCTGGAAACCATATCCATGCACCAGGGGCTGGGGGAAACAGTGGCAGCCCAGACGCAGTTTGCAGGCACCCAGCCCTGGTGCAGTTCCCTACTGGCTGGAAGCTTCACCCATGCTACAGCCAGGAAGTGGGGAGTTGGGGAAGTGGCAGTGGCAGAGGTACAGCTCCCAACACGAGCACTGCAGAAACCACCCAACCTGTCTTGGACCAGAGCTGGGATGGCAGGAAAAAATGGCAGCAGTGCAAGTACAGCTGGAAGCTGCACAGCTTCTCACTGCCTGGCACTGTCACTGGAAAAGTCCTCCAGCTCTGCAGGCTGGATCTAGCAGCTCTGCAAGCCAGATCCAGCCTGCAGACCATACATTGCCAACCTCTGATTTCAAACCATGTACAGAACATGATAAAATAAACTTGATCGTATTTTCAGGAAAAAAGAAATAATCAATATTAACAAACTCCAGGGGAAATGGAGGCATTATCATCCTGGTACTTGAAAATACTTTAAAATCTGGCATTAACCTGAGTGGAATAAATAATGCCACTTCCGTGATAAAGGGTTAAATATGTTTAGAAAGACAGTACTGTACAATACACTGTACACAGGCCTGTACATGACAGGCCTACATATAATTCTGATTTCTCCAATGACTAACTTCCTATGGAACATGGATTCATTTTTCTGCTAACTACTGTAAGAAACCATCCTGGTCAACTAATTAATTAACATTATTCTGACAGCTTCCGAAAGCTGGCTGAAAGGACTGGAGTTAGATTTTAATATTCTTAGTCGTTTTCACTTGTCAATATAAACTGAATTTTTAAGCAATGTGTTTAATGCTGTTAAGCAAAAGTGCTAAAGGTCACCCTCCTTGTACTTGAAAGTGCAAGTTGCTTTTGTATTTTATATGCACAGATACAAACATTGCAGGAGCAAATGTTGCTTTCATTCCAACCCACTCAGGTAGCTAGAGGGGCATATTCGTGAGATTTACACCCACAACTTACACACAGGTGAAAATTACATGGGTGCAAATTTCATATGGCTCTAATTTAAAGAATGTCAAAAAAATTAAAAGCTTTATATTAAGGCATTGTTGTTCTTGGAACAAAATTATTCTCATTAGAAGCATTTATATAATTTTCAAAACAGCACAAGAATTTTACTGTGAAGGAAAGTAAATGAATCACTAGTCACTACTGTGGTTTCCAAAGCAAAACTGTTGACCTCAAGCTTTCTCTTCCAATGTGTGTCCTGGAAAATATTCCCTTGGGAATAGCTGTAACATGATAAATGAATAGGCTACAAGAGACATGAAGGTGAAAATCAGAGATCTCTAAGCAGATAGGAGGGTATAACATCTTCATCCCACTTGCTTACAACAATCTCTGGCCCTAATTGGACATGTCTACACAAGACATTTACTACGCAGTAAATGTCTGGGTGTCCCTATGTGTGCCCCTATTAGGCTGGAGTAAACCAATGTATTCTGCAGCAAGGCAGTATTTATAAATACTAATACTATCCTGTAAATATACTATAATACTATAAATATACTGTAATACTATCCTAGTAAATACAAGTACTATCCTGCTGCACAGTAAAAAAAAAGTCCACAGTAGCACACATGTAGATGCAGGAGGGGCTGGCTGGAGCATGAGAGCATTTCAGTGCAAGGGTTGCTTACCAGCTAGCCCAGGGGTGGGCACATATTTTGGGTGGAGGGCCGCTTACTGAGTTTTGGCAAGCCATCGAGGGCCACATGACAGGCAGCCAGAGGCAGATTAATATTAATTTTCTAATTTTTTTTTTTAGAGACCCTGAAGGCCAGACAGAATGTCCTGGTGGGCTGCATTTTGCCCACCCCTGAGCTAGCCCCACACTGAAGTACCTTCATGCCCCAGCCAACCCCTCCACAGCATGCTGAGCCAGGGAAGCAGCCTCGGACCCCTGGGGCCCCCCCACCAGCCAGGGCTGCTGCAACCCAACTCCATGTGCTGCATATGAATAAACTGCAGAGCTATCTCAGAATAGCCTCCAGCTTCCCGCTCTGCTAGAGGGAGGAGGAATAACCCTGTCCCCGCCCAGCTGCACCCCCTCCCTGCCACTGCAGTGGGAGGTAGCAGCCCCTGCCATACTGTGGGGGAGTGCAAGCCCCTTCCTGGCGAGGAGCTGTGGTGCGGGGCCCACAGAGCTGTAGCCGGCTGCATGCATCAGCGCCAGGGTCCTGAGTGGGCCACAGCCCTGCAAGCCCCCCACAGCACTCCACAGCACAGCCCCTCACTGAGAAGGGGCTCATGCTCCAAGATGGGTGCTCACAGGTTGCTGCTCCAGCTGCTGGGTGGGGCCAGGCCCATCCCCTGCCGCTGTTCTGTGCTCAGGGCAAGCCCCCTCCCAGTAGGAGGGGGCTTAGTCAGCCGCTGGCACCAGAGCACAGTTTGCCCAGCCCGGCTGCAGCCACTGCTGCTCTATGCTGAGGCCAGTGGCTGAAAAAGCCCCCTCTGGCCAGGAGGGAGCTGGCCCCAGCACAGAGCAGTGGCAGCTGGAGTCCAGCCTGGCAAACCACGCTCTGGTGCCAGTGGCTGAATAAGCCCCCTCCTGCCAGGAGGGTCTTGCCCGGAGCACAGAACAGTGGCGGGAGCCAGGCCCAGCCCCACCCAACAGCTGGAGCAGCACCTGGTGAGTAACCGTGATGGCCAGCAGCCCGTCACAGCTTCTCAAAGAGCGAGCCCCTTCCCAGTGGGGGCTGCACTGTGGAGCACTGTAGGGAGCTTGCAGGGCTCTGTCCTGCTCGGGACTCCGGTGCTGCCACGTACAGCCAGCCACAGCTCTGCCAACCCCACAGTGCAGTCCCTCACTGGGAAGGGGCTTGTGCTCCCGTGCAGTATGACAGGGGCTGCTGCCTCCCATTGCAGTGGCAGGGAGGAGG